ATGTGCAGCGAGCCTCAATTACTCTCCGAAACCTCCTTTACTGTCATCGTCCCGTCACCGCCAAATTCACTGGCACTATCACCGGCCACTTCGTCACCGTTACTGTCCTCGATTTCGACTCGCACCGACCTCGCCATGAACCCTCGTCACTGTTATCGTCTTCAACTCGAACGTGTTCAACACCCTGAACGTCTTCAGAGCCGTAAAAGTCTTTGGCGCTGTCAATGTTACCGTCAACCTAGATTACTTTCCTACGAAAAGGAACAAAAAGAACGGAGAAGAGTAAATCTTTTTTTTTTATTCACATTGTCATCGTCAGTTGATAGTATTCAGGAGAAATACATTTGGTTTTTAATCGTCTGGATGCAAACTACTTTCTGTGTCAATTTTGTGTGTTCTCAGGGTCTTCTGTCGTAGCATAGGGAAATAACATGCCATTATCATGGCTCATCCTTGTCGACGCTTGGAAAAATAAACTTGTATCTGCCCTTCCACCCTACCAGCTGCCCCATTATGCCCAAATAGCAACGCTTTAGACAACCACGCCTTGCTTCTCCCCGCTCCGCATAACCCCTCTCCTCTCCGCTCTCATCCGCTCTGCAACGCCCTTTCCCCGCCCCGCCGGGCGGGCGTCTGCGGCGCTCCGCCCGGGCATTGGTTCCACATGGCGTTCCGCGTTCCTGGGCGCCTCTCCGGCGGGGAACAGCCCGCTTGTCAGCGCCGGCCGCGTCGGCCGGCCGGGCTTCGCTCGCTGCACCCGCCTTTCCGACTATTACATTTTTCGAGGAGTTAATGTGGAAAAACCAGGTTCTAAACGAAATTGAGGGTTGCCGCGCGGGCGAGAAAAAAACCGCAACTGGGCGCCATGGTTCTCGCGCCTCCGGGGGCGTGCGCGGCGGGGGAGGTTGGACGCGCCCAATGCGGGTGGATCGAGTCTGTGCGCAGGCAGAGAGAGCCACGGGACGGTAGGGACGGGATGAGGTGGAGGTGGTGCGGTTATTGTAGTTGTTATGTAGGTTGGTGGGGACAGACGTAGTGCATAGAGGCAAGGCGGAGACTAGTGTGGTAGTGTAAGAGCTAAGCGTAGGATGTGGTTGTAGGTTCGGGAGGATAGTAGATAGTTGTGAAGTGCCTGGAAGATAAGGCGGGAGGGCTGTCAGAGTTTGAGAACGGGAAAGAACAGAGCGGATGGAAGTAGAACGGGTGATGGGGATGAGTAGAGTAGAGATGATGTGTGGTTGTTAGTGTTATGGCTGTAATAGAGGGGTGACAGTATGGAGGAGGAATGTGATGATTTGCGAGTTGTTTTGCCGAGTGGTAGAGAGCTTGGTTATTTTGAAGTGCGAAAGCAAGGCGGAGAGGAGCTGGTCAGAGCAGAACGACGAAAATGAACTGGGCAGTCCGAGCGGTGGAGGGTCGCAGGTGGGAGGATAAAACAATCAGGCAGATCAGGGAGAACACACCAAACGGAGAAGAACCGGCGGGAGACGCGCGATTGCATGCAGTGCGGTGGGGCGGAGCGGTGCGCAGCGGGGAGGTGTGGCCCGTACGGGGAGAAAAGAGAGGGCGCGGCGAGGACGGCAAGGCATGGGCGTACGATGGTGGCGCGCGGTGCAGTGCGGGGAAGAGGCGGGGAGGAAAGCGGGCGAGCGAATGCGAGCAGAAGTTGTTGCGGGCGTCTGGTTGTGGGCCGGGGTGGGGGAAGCGGAGGAGGGGCGGGATTTGGGCATTGGCAGGAGGCAAAGGGAACCGGGGCGTAAAGCGTGGCGGGGTTGCGGGAGGAGCGGGCCCAATTTTTCTTTTCCTTTCTCTTTG